AATGCTCCATTTAATACAGGTCCTCTGTTGCCCAGAAGACCTATATTGGTTTCAATGGCAACAATTTTTTCCCCCTCCATTCAGAATTAATCATCCCAAATAGGCAATGTGAGCATATTTAAAACCGTTTAGGGGTTAATCTTCTCTATCATTGCTTACACCAGTGCCACGACCTTAAATTTAAATAGTTCTGACTGCTAAGGAATCTCAACACATTACATTCACACATTCCCGTGCATAGAAATCCTGAATTTGAACATATGCTTCAGCACCTGCGCAAGTCATTTAGTATTTCCAAAGCACAGTTTCTTCATCTGTAAAATGGACACAACCTACCTTCACAGGGATACAAAGACCAAACTAAATAATGTGAAAACATGTTTGGGAAGAGTACAGATACACATATGAATGCTTGTTATGATTTTAAGAGCTCCAGATTCCTACATTTCACTAAAAGGAAGAATTTCGTTCAGATGTAGAAACTGAATGGACTACAGTTGCTGAGTCGGCATTACATACTTTAAAACCAAACAAGTTTCCATGGACTTTTCTATCTAAAGTTCCTTCTAGGGAAGTAGAGTAAGATGTTAAAACTTACGTATCTTCATTTTAATATTTTCACAGGTGGGGCATACACTTTCTTTTTTTTTTTCTTGAGACTTTGAGACAGGGTCTCACTGTCACCCAGGGTGGTGTGTAGTGGCATGATCTCGGCTCACTGCAACCTCTGCCTGCTGGGTTCAAGTGATCCTCCTGCCTCAGCCACCTGAGTAGCTAGGATTATAGGCATTGCACCACCATGCCCAGCTATTTTTTTAATTTTTAGTAGAGATGGGGTTTCTCCATGTTGGCCAGGCTGGTTTTGAACTCCTGACCTCAAGTGATTTGCCTGCCTTGGCCTCCCAAAGTGCTGGGATTACAGGCATGAGCCACCATGCCTGGCCCACGGAGGATACATTTTCTACATTCCTCTCAAGGGCAGGAACAGTATCTTAGGCATTATTTTAGCTGCAGTAACTGGAACAGAGACTGTCTCTGTGTTTAATAAATATTCATCAGAATATACTTTTCCAGAATAAAGTAAAACTTTGGTAAAATATATGTGAGGTGGAAAGAGCTCTGGCCGTGGAGTAAACATTTGCTCTCTTATCATCTATTACAAGTCCTTCAAGCATCCTGAGGCTTCATTTCCTTTTAAAAAGTCTACCCTGTTGCTAGGAACGGTGGCTCATGCCTGTAATCCCAGCACTTTGGGAGGCCAAGGCGGGAGGATCACGAGGTCAGGAGATCGAGACCATCCTGGCTAACATGGTGAAACCCCGTCACTACTAAAAAATACAAAAAATTAGCCAGACATGGTGGTGGGCGCCTGTAGTCCCAGCTACTCGGGAGGCTGAGGCAGGAGAACAGCGTGAACCCGGGAGGCAGAGCTTGCAGTGAGCCGAGATCGTGCCACTGCACTCCAGCCTGGGCGACAGAGCGAGACTCTGTCTCAAAAAAAATTAAAATAAAATAAAATAAAATAAAACAAAATAAAAAATCTACCCTGTCAGTAATGCCCCTTTTATCCGATGTTAGACATCCACACAGAATACCACAAATAAGGCCTTTGAGTGACAAAAAGAAAAAGTTTCTAATGAAGTCCATGCATGCACTTTACGCGTAGTAGAGACCCAGTGATTCTTATTTTAAGTGTGTGTGTGTATCTGAGACAGGGTCTCGCTCTGTCGCCTAGGCTGGAAGGCAGTAGTACCATCAGAACTCACTGCAGCCTCGATCTCCCAGGCTCAAGCAATCCTCCCACCTCAGCATTCCAAGGAGCTAGGACAACAGGCACATACCACCATGCCCGGCTAATTTGTTAACATTTTTATTTTTATTTTGTAGAAACTAGGTCTCCCTATGTTGCCTAGGCTGGTCTTGAACTCCTGGGCTCAAATGATCCTCCCACCCTGGCCTCCCAAAGTGTTGGAATTCCAAGCATGTGCCACTGCGTTTGGACTATTTTAAGAATATTTCTAATAAACTGTTATTTGGTTATATTTCCCACTGGTGGTTAAAAGCACTAAGATAAGATAGATCAGATGTCCAAGGAAAGAGAAATTGGAGAACCCTAAAGGTTTCCCTCGCTGATACATGAAGTAGAATCAAACCTTCCCAAAAAGGCAGATCTAATTCAATCCAAAACTATTCTACAGCCTAATATCACCAAACACTTGACAAAATATTATGCGGGCTCCATCTCTTACTTCAGAATTAGTCAACCTGTGATTAATTTAATCCCATCTTTAATTACAGTCAAAGAATAAATGCTCAGCAAATACTTCATTTTAACACTATCCACTGCTACCCTACTCATAACCTTGGAAGAAATGATAAGCCCTCTTTTATGGTTCACTTTTCCTTATTCAAGCAATCTGCTCACTAGCTGTTCTTTTATTTTTTACTACATGACAGTAACGAGTTGCAATGGAAAGGTCAACTGATTTTAACCCGAATTGGAATTATCTAAGAGCATTTTACATACAGAGATAAAATGGATTATTTTACAGAATTAATTTTACCCCCAATAATGCTAATACACTTTACAGAAGTACAATGTTACTATTTGCTAACTACAGGTAATCAGCTACTTCAAGGCAGTGACCACCTTTGCCCATTGGGATCATTAAAGCACACAACAGAGCACTGTAGCCAACAGAATAATTAATATTCCTGAGAATGTCTTTAAAAGACTTTCATGTATCGCTAATAGGATTCCAAATGCATGTAAGTCTTTTGGAAAGTTAGTTACATCTTTAAGAATCTCGAGCAAATTCTGGTTTATTCACTAGACGGATAAATGTGAGAAACTGATTTTTGATAAATCTCAGGATTAAGGACTGTGTATTTAAAAAATTTTTAAATGGCCAGGTGTGGTGGCTCACACCTATAATCCCAGCACTTTGGGAGGCTGAGGCGGGTGGATCACGAGGTCAGGAGATCAAGACTATCCTGGCTAACACAGTGAAACCCCGTCTCTACTAACAATACAAAAAATTAGCCAGGCGTGGTGGTGGGCGCCTGTAGTCCCAGCTACTCGGGAGGCTGAGGCAGGAGAACGGCGTGAACCCGGGAGGCAGAGCTTGCAGTGAGCCAAGACCGCGCCACTGCACTCCAGCCTAGCCTGGGCTACAGAGTGAGACTCTGTTTAAAAAAAAAAAAAAACAGAAATAACTGTGTATCAAATGTAATTGCAATTATTTCTTTTTAAGAAACTGCATTGGAAAAACAGACTGGAAAGAAACGTTAGCAGTATTTGTAGTTGGGTAATGAGACTATGGCTATTTTCTTTTCTCTGTATGCTAAATTTTACTTAATAAGTATGCACTAGTTTTACAATGAAACAAAGAAAAAAAGAGAAAGGAAGGAAGAAGGAAGAAAGGAGGGAAGGGAGGAAATGGGAAGGAGCACTGCTTAAAGGTAGCAAAATGGCCTAATTAGACCAGCTAGTTACCACTTAGTTAAATACTATAATTAAGTTTTCACCCTAGCAAGGAACTTTCTAAGTGATCACAAATGTTAACTAAGTCATATAATATCTGCACTGAAGGGGCATCTTACCTAATTCTGTCATTTGACAGGTGTAGCAAAGAAATTATAATTATACAATGCTATACAGTTTACAAAGTGTGTTCAAAATGTCACATCATCTGTCCTTCAAATACTCCTGAAATAGGCTCATAAGCCCCATTTTAAGGATCAGGAAATTGAGGGTTACAGAGATAGTAATGTGCCTTAATAATAATGTCTACGATTTATCAAATGTTTACTACGTGCCAGACTCTGGGTTAAGCACAATCCTGTGAAAATTATCCCTACTTTATAGATAGAAGGTGAAGGGGCCAGGCGCGGTGGTGACTCACATCTGTAATCCCAGTACTTTGGGAGGCCAAGGCAGTTAGATCACTTGAGCCCAGGAGTTCCAGACCAGCCTGGGCAACATGGCCCAACCCCGTATGATGCGGGGGCGGGGGGGCAATTAGCCGGGCATGGTGGCACCCACCTGTAGTCCCAGATACTTGGGAGGCTGAGGTGGGGGGATGGCTTGAGCCCAGGAGGCAGCAGTTGCAGTGAGCTAATGCCACTGCACTCCAGCCTGGGCAGCAGAGCGAGACCCTATCTCAAAATAAAAATTAAAAAAAGGAGAGAAAAGAGAAAGTGAAGGGTAGCCAGGCACAGTGGCTCACGCCTGTAATCTCAGCACTTTGGGAGGCCAAGACAGGAGGATCACTTGAAACCAGGAGTTGGAGACCAGCCTGAGCAACATAGCAAGACCCTGGCTCTACAAAAAATAAAAAAAATAGCCAAGGTTCGTGGTGTGAGCCTGTAGTTCCAGCTACTTGGGAGACTGAGGCCGGAGGATCACTTGAGCCCAGGAGTTCCAGGCTGAAGTGAGCTATGATCGCATCAATGCACTCCAGCCTGGGCGACAGAGCAAGATCCCGTCAACAGAACAGAACAGAACAGAACAGAGAAAAAGAAAAAGAAAAAGAAAGAAAAGGAAAGGAAAGGAAGAAGAAAGGAAGAAAAGAAGGAAGGTAGGTAGGAAGGTACATTAGGTGACTTGCTTGAGATCATACAGCTAAGTCACTACTCTGATTCTAAGCCATACACTTAAAACACTTAAAACAGAAGTCTTGAATTACCTATAATTCAACTTCACAGAGCCCTTTAGTAGACGTTGGCTTATGATCCAGTCCCATGTTCTCTCTTTTAAGAGTTACTAAGTCTGAAAGCCATTATGAGGGTCTATAAGCAAAAGCACTAGCCCAGTCATACCCAAAAACTCATGTTGGCGGAGAGCCCATGCCTCAGAAGAAAGGCGTGAATAACTAGAGTGCAGGGGACAAAGCTAAGAAGTCTTATAATGTACACATTAAGAAGCAACCAAGAATTCAAAGGAAACACTCCCCAGAGCAGCAAGGATAGCAACATCACGATATCAACAATTCCAGCACCTTACACTCCTGTAACCTAGCGCAATTTCCGCAGAGCCTTCAGGTTCATCTCAACGGATCCTCGCAAAAACCTGTGGGCTGGGCTGGGCAGAGCGGGAAATCAGTCTCACTTTACACAAGAAGCCGAAAGGAACGCAGAAGAGGGCCGGGTGGGCAGAAAAGCACGAGATTAAGAGCCAGGGGCAGCCACCTGGGGTGACTGGGCGCCTCCATTGACTGGAGGAAGAACGCAGGGCCCGCGGCGAGGACAAGGCCCAGAGAGGCCGAGGTGCTGGGTCCGTCGCCCGCCGAGGCTCAGGGGCCTTGGAGGTCGGCCCAGGCGCCTATCTACTCACGTTGGACCAGCTGGTCTCCAGAGAAGACGGAGGAGCAGCTGGTGACCAACGCACAGGGTACGCCCGCAGCCATAGCTGCGCTCGCAAGCCGGTTCCGTCTGGCAGCCGCTTCCGCCTTGGACTGCACCATGGCCGCCGGCGCGAGGGGGAGACACGCCGGGGAGGGCGTTCTCGGAATGACCAGGCTGCCCTGACCCCGCCCCCAGGCCCCCTTCCGCTCCCAGCGTGGAACAGGCCAGGCCGCGCGTAGTGTTGCCATGGGGACGAGCGGCCCCGGCTGAAGGTTTCCATGCTTGGAAACCGCGCCTCCGCGGAGGTAGCAATTCCCTGACCTAGCCATGGCTCAGAACACTGAAAACCACGACCCTGTCGGATCCATCTTAATCCAGGTGGGAAACGGGCCTCCCCCGGCCCTGCCCAGCCGTGCCACTTCCGAGCGAGGCCCCGCGCGCCGATTCACGGGCGCTTAGCCATTTGGTGCGCCGTCCCTAGACTGCCTTCTACACGCGAGAGGCTCCCCAAAATGTCCATCCAGACCTTCCCCCACGGCTCAGCGCACTCCCGGTGACTTACCGTGTAGGTTACGCCCCAGAAGTACGACCTTTCTGCCTCTGGGAAAACTCACGCTGAGGCCCCATTTTTAAATGTTACATTCTGAAAAATTTGAACCCATCACGTCGGGAGCGGAGGAGAGACAAATCAGACACTCTAGGAGGTGATAAGAAATTTGGAGACAAATTGAAATATGTGCATTGCTTTTCTTAAACTCCCCAGGTTTTTTAGATCTAAATGTTCCTTGTTGGGGAACACACACACACAGAACAATCAAGATAACTTGGAATGAAAAGATAAATAACATTTAGAAACTTGGTGAAGGAGCTTTTTAATTTGAGAGGGGAAATGTCAAGAAAGTCTTGTCCAATACAGGACAGTTTGTAACAGTTGCACTAAGATGTTTCTGAAATGATTATGGCATTTTGTTTTCACATTTATGTGAGGTAGCTTTAAGATATTTCCACATATATCATCGGTTTTAACTATCACATATATAATAGCTGCATTTGAGTAAGTCTTGAAGTCATTTGTGTAAGGTCACTCTATCAGGACTGTCACTCAGTCGGTCTGAAGTGGGTCTTATGAAAGGGATCTAATTTTTCTGGCAGAATTTTGATCTCTTACCTCCCATCTAGGAGAGATTTCCCTAAATCTACCTTTTCCCAAATACAAGCCCCTAAACTCACCAATTTCATACACTTCCCCTTTAAGAATCATACCTAAATCTTACCTGATCTTTTATCACCCTCACTTTCACCATCACCGAGCAATGAATTTAACCAAACTGCAAAGTCTGAGGGAACAGTCCCCAAAAAACTGCCCTAACTTCAACACTCATTACCTGCAAGTTTAGAGGTCCCCAGAACCACCTCACTCAGACAAGCTGGGTACAAACTTAGGGGCCCCATCACCACCCTCACATTCAATGATTCACTAGAACTATTCGTAGAACTGAGGAAAGTGCTGTGCTCACACCTCCAGTTTTATTATACTGAAAGCATACAAATTAATCAGCCAAGGGAAGAGATGCATAGGACAGAATCCAGGAGGGGTCCAGACACAGAGCTTTTGGTAATCTTACCCCTGTGGAGTCATGGACATCATTACCTGCATTACTTCCTCCCAGCCACAATATGTGACAATATGCATAGAATATTGCAACTAGAGAAGCTTATCTGAGGCTTTGATGTCCAGAATTTTTACTGGGGCTCAATCTCACACTGCCCTTGTGGTTGACCATTAATCTCCAGCCCCTCCTGAATACTTTTAGTCTCCCACTGTTCCAGAGGTCTGAGCTGATACAGCATGGATCAAAACACCCATTATAAGTCATGTTGTTAGACTGTCTGGTGGCTAAAGCCCACAGACAAAGACTTTTCTATCAGGCAGGACATCCCAGGGGCCTAGAGATCACCTCCCAGTAGCCAGGGGCAAAGACTGGACCCCTCTTTGGGTAAGGTTAATTCTTTGCTGCACATACCCCCTCTTTTTATAGATTCCAAATAATTAGAATAATAATGGAGACTCTTACCTAGGATACAACATTATAGTAATAGATAACTGTTGACACTGACTTGTGAGATGGGTCAGAAGAGCTAATAGTCATATCCTTGTTGATCTGCACCCCTACTTGTTTAAAAGGATTCCTGTGGACATATCAGGTAAAGGGCTGTGTAGAGGAAGAGAGCCTACCTGTTAACCAGATTATTAAGACTGATTCCTGTATAGTATAAAATTCTATTCTCTACATGTAGAATATATATAGTGAGGAAATTTGGAAGACTTTCCCTACTTTCCCAATGAATCCTGAGAATTTGTGAGTACGTAGCACCACCCAAATGTGCCAACATGGATTCCACTTCTGTTTGGGGCTATGGTTTATTTCCCTCAGACAGGCTACCAATAATTAGTATGTCTAGTGGAAAGCACTTGATGGCGAGTCAGAATACTGAGATCTGACCATGGCTTTGGCATTCTCACAAGTAGCGACTTTGAGCTAGTCACTTCACCTCTCTGGACCTCTTCCTCTTCCATAGGGACACTTTCCTCTTCCATAGGACATATAGTTTGGATTAGGTTCACTTCTGACTCTAAATTGTCCCAATTTCCCGAAGCCCCGAAGCTACATCATTTACTGTAAAAGTAGACTTCCTTTCTTGTTAGCCTAGGCAATCAAATTGTTTCTGGCAAATCAGTGAGTGAGTGAGTGTGTGTGTGCTGTAGACTGTAAAGCAGAGGTACTTTAAATTTCGACTTGCTTCACCCTAATATGGTCAGTTAGGTCTGTGTATCAATCAGATATATTAAACAGCTTAGGTGTTGTAGGTATTATTTTTTAGCTCCAGTTTACAGAAGACACTTAAGTACAAAGAAGTAAAGCATCTTGCCCATTGTAATACATCCAGTATGTATTGATCCTTAAATAGGCTATGGCATGTTTATGAAGTAATCTTGAAGAAGTGTGGTAGCGACTCTGGGAACTTTCCAGTCATACTTTGTAAATCTTAGAAGCTTTGTTTTTATGCTTCATTAAAATGTGGTGTATTCTTAACATATCTTTATAAATGCTTGCTTGACCCAAATATTAAACAGGTTTGTGTAACAAATATTACCTGATTTTATGATTCAAAATTAGCTTTTTAATTAAAATCCAGCAATTGTGTGTTAACACACAAAAAAACAACAATTGTGTGTTAACACTGATCTTGGGAATAAGGGAGCTCAATTGACAGTTTGCTATTTTCATTCTTTCTTATCAACCTCTCTGTCTGATTTGTCAGGTGCATACAATATAAAAATGAATAAAGTTGGCCAGGTGTGGTGGCTCATGCCTGTAATCCCAGAACTTTGGGAGGCTGAGGCGGGTGAATCACTTGAGGTCAGGAGTTCAAGACCAGCCTGGCCAACATGGCAAAACCCTGTCTCTACTAAAAAATACAAAAAATAGCTAAGCATCATGGCAGGCACCTGTAATCCCAACTACTTGGGAAGCTGAGGCAGGGAGAATTACTTGAACCCAGGAGGTGGAGATTGCAGTGAGCCGAGATTGCGCCACTACACTCCAGCCTGGGCAACACAGCTAGACTCCGTGTCAAAAAAAAAAAAATGCCGAGTGCAGTGGCTCATGTCTGTAATCCCAGCACTTTGGGAGGCTGAGGCGGGCAGATCATCTGAGGTCGGGAGTTTGTAGACCAGCCTGGCCAACATGGTGAAACGCTGCCTCTACTGAAATACAAAAATTAGCCGGGCATGGTGGCAGGCTCCTATAATCCCAGCTACTCAGGAGACTGAGGCAGTAGAATCGCTTGAACCCGGGAGGTGGAGGTTGCAGTGAGCCGAGATCGCGCCATTGCACTCCAGCCTGGGGGACAAGAGTGAGACTTCATCTCAAAAAAAAAAAAAAAAAATAGAAGAAAGAAGTTAAAGATAATTGAGGTAATGAGAATGACTCAGCCAAACTCTAGCAGAGATGAAGAAAATGGAATTTTATATTGCTTTTGACAGTATAGAGTCTGGTTTCGTGGCTCTTGTAAAGTCTGGAGCAAATCTTTGCTGCATTAAATCTTTCAAGGGCTTCTCATTAAGTAGCTCTGTCCCCAAATTGTCAAAATAATAATCTTTCTCCAAGTAGAAAATTTATGGAAAACAAGGTGTTTGATGATGACAGAGATGATGGATGAGATGTAAAATTTCAATATGGTAGATTTGGATCTATTTGAAGAAAGAACAGAGATTTAGAACTCAATCTCTTTTTCTACCCAAGTCTAGTGTAACTTTTTCTATAGTACTTGTCTTTATTGCAATTATACAAACAGATGAGTGGTTGTTAGAGGGGAGGAGAAAATAACTAGCAAGAAAAGGAAAAACTCTTGAGAAAGATTAGGGAGCAAGTTATTCAATTAACATTTACATAAATTCAATTAACATTTACAGAGTATTAGTTTCACTAATACTCTGTAAGGAGTTTCACTAGGTTTTACAATTCAGAAGGGGAGAATTAACATTTGTTCAGTGCCCTCCTATGTGCTTAACACTATACAAAGTACTTACATATTTTTACTCGTTTTGTTCTTGCCACTGTTTTGAGATAGCTATTATTATTCCCATTTTACAGATGAGAACACGAAGCCTCTAAGAGACTAAGTAACTTTCCCAAATTCAGTTTAGTAAAGAACGAAGCAGGATTCCAGTTCACATCTGTCAGCACCAAAGCCTATATTGATTCATTTTCATACATATTCCTTTCATTTTCATTCAACAGTTTTAAGTAGAGTAATTCTTTTTTATCCTGGACAAAGAAATTAGAAATTCAGAAAATTTGGATGTATATGGAAGTCATGTGACTAATAAGTGATCGGGCTAGGAATTATATTCAGCTGCCTTTTATTGAGTTCTTGCTATGTACCAAGGCTGTTACATACTATCTCACAACTCTGTCAGGAAGTATCATTGTCCACACAAGGCAGGTGAAAAAAAACAAACCTTTGGCACAGTTTTTACTCCCTCCTGTAGTTGATAGAGATAGTTACAGAAATACACATGGAGCTACAGATACTAGAAG